TTGGGGGGGGGGTGATAAATGAAGACTCGAAAACAGACGAACAACGTCTTGCAAATAATATTGGTCGAATAACACTAGGCAGGCAGGTCAATGATGACCGCTTCCTAAAATATCGTAACTATGTCAATAAACTGTGAAACTATCTACAATCTACAGTTCTGTTCCCTTTCACGTCGAACCCTTTGAAATATTTGAGAAATAACTTGAAAAACTCGACGAAAAAGGTAACTAGACGAAGAAAGTCACTTCCAAAACTCGACGAAGAAGGTAACTTAAAAAAAATAGACGAAGAAGGTAACTTGAAAAACTAATTTGGAAAACTAGGCATAGAGGGCGGCTAACTTCAAAAACTAGACAAAAAAAGGTAATTAGAAAAAAAAAAAAACAAAGCGAGTAACTTGAAAATCCAGACGAAAGGCTATTTTTTTTAAATTTCATTTTCAATCCCCAGTGCTCGGGAGGCGTGCGGAAAACGTTCAACTACATGTGGATCAAGAAGTGCCGCTGTGACCAAGTGTGCTACAAGAAAGGCCCCAACAAGAAGCGACGCATGCGCAGAAGGCGATTCCGGAACCGCGAGAAAAGGCGCCGTCTGCGAGGCAAAGACAAGAAGAAACGTAACAAGAGCTTCAGTAGGAGGAGGGCGATGAGGCGCAGGGCGAGGAGGAGGATGAGGAAGATGCAGAGAGAGGAATAGTTAGAGGGAGGGGGAAACTTGGCTTGGAGGATGACCAGGCTTGGAGAGATGGTCGCTCGTCTTACTGGAGAAAAGACAGATGTAGATTCACTTTTATAAAGACGTGTTATGGAGGAGAAGGATAGACAGATAATAACAGACAATTAATATGCTGTCACGATGATGCAGATTTTATTTAAAGACACACGAATTCATTAAAGAGTACAAGAAAGTGTGGAATTGCTAAGAGATGTACACTCACTCCAACGCAAGGAAACGTTGTCAAAGTGAAATACACGTTAACGCACGCGTACATGCACACACAACTACACACACGCAGACGTACATACACACACACACACACACACACACACACACACACACACACACACACATATATATATATATATATACACGCACAAACACATACAGAGACATTACACAATACACGTTATTTATAGTACATGTATATCTTCCAAGTCCTCAGCCTTGGTGATTTCGAAATAAGACATACCCTCAATATCTACGAGAGAGTAATTTGAGGGCTGTGGAGGTGATTCAAAAGATCACGGATTTGACGACAAGAGAGTGTTTCTGTACTCAAAAACGCTTTAAAAACCTCTGCTTGGATAGTTTATGGCCACTGGCGATATACATTAAAACTTGTGATGCAAACCGCGATCTCCAGAAAGCGGCTACGTGTTTTAGTGAACTCTCTGGGAAGCCATTAATTGTTGTTCGTTCGCTAAATATTATTTTGACCTCCTTAAGGTAACCTCCTTCTGTCTACCTGGTAAGGTCCTATCGGGGATAGACGTTGTTAAATAATGGAGGTTCCGCCTCTTAACTCTTTATGTGCCTCGAGTTCTCACCCCAAAATCAAAAAGTGTGAAAGGCACCAATGCATCGGTACGGTACAGGAAGAGTAAAATATATTTTAAAAAACCTTTCCATCTTGCAAAGGGCGGTGAACCTATACTGTTTCGTGCATGTTTCCCTCCCTGTGCGTGGCCTTGACCTCTTTTAACCAATCTCAAATCAAAGGTCATGATTATAAACGAGAGAGTTGTGTGCATGGGGGACAGTGGTACATAATAAAATGACTACTGGCGACGATTCAGCAAGCTTACTAATTATTCGATGACGTTTCAGGGACACAAGACCCTTGTCTGTGGTGTAGTGGTTAGATCCTTTGCCATTACACCCAGAGAACAGAAGTTCCAATCTTGAACGGAGATTTTAATTTTTTAGAAATTGTATTCAATTGTATTTATTTATTTCTTTAATCGAGTATATTAATTTGATCTGCTGGGATGTTGTTTCACACCCAGCCTTGATTGGTCCTGGCAGGCAAGGGGTCGAAGCAGCCCGCCCCCCAAACGATTTCAATTGTGTCAATAGTTTTTGGAGTTTTATTTGTTTTGTTTTGTTTTTGTGTTGTTTTGTTTTTTGGGGGAGGGGGGGAGGGTGCACAACACGTGAGATAATTCAAAAAGGACTAGGAAGTGTTGTTATACACATGTCCCAACCCCCTTTCAAAGATGACAGACAGACTTAGAAGTGACTTCCTTTGAAGGACAATAACAACTCATAATATTTCAAAGATGTCTCACAAGTTACAGTTCTATACCTCCTCTGCAACAACTGCAAGAAAGCTCGTGTGACTTCACGGTTACTCTCTTGGACTTGCTCATCTTTATCTTCTCAGTGTCTTGGAAGACACGTAGCGCTGTGCAAGTAAAGACAAATAAAGACAAATCTGCATATATAGGCTACACTTCACGCAAAAGTGAGGATACATTATACATCAAATCTTCTGATGCCTTCCAGAATGGCATGAAATGAAGCTAGTGTCAACGCCACGGACTAAACATGCCTGAACTTCTCAAAGACGAAGGAAGCCATTGTGCGATATTCTTACACGGGTGTCCTCTTGTAGGCCAATTTCTGTGAGCGCTCATAATATGACCTTATGCAGGTGAGAGCGCCGTAAAACTCCTACTAAAACTAATATTTGTGAGACTGAGAGAAAATAAACACGACTCAGCCTTTTTACCAGTATGTGTAAGTACACTTGGATTTCCAGGACTCGCTGTAAAAAAAGTGTTGAGCTGAGCTGGCGTGTAGATCTTTCGTCATCACTCTAAAGGTTCCATTACTTCTCTGGAATACCCTATGGGGACTTTTCGCCCCGTATGTGCGCATGCGCAGGAAGTTACTGAAGCGGAAGTGATTTTAAAAAACCGCAAGGACGCCCAGAAAAAGAACAGGATTTCCCGGACTCCGTTGATTGAGAAACCGCGCTTGTTTCAAGCAGCGGTTGGTCTTTTTCCTTTCGAGACAAAGATATTCTATAATAATTGTGTGCGACCATGGGCTACATAGTCTGTATGGAACGGGATGGAATCAAACAGCCCTTCTTTCTCCTTTTTTGTGGCGCACTCCTGCAGGATTGGCGCCTTTATCCAGTCCGCTATGTTGTACATAGATTGTTTACATAACCACGCTCGGCGTCACCATGACAACCGGAACATAATACAATATAAAAGATATAATATTATTATCATTATTGTATATTGTTCTCTATACAGTCTCAGTTGTGAATTTCGTTGAGTACACTTTCTCATGCACATAATTATTTCCTCATTTGACTCAGTGGTCAACACTGGTAACAATACATTGGTCTCTTTTTGTGTTGGATTTTTTTATGGCGAAGTTTTCCACGTTTGTTATTGAGCTACCGTTGTTGCTGTTATTGTGATAATTACTGTTGTTGTTGTTGTTGTTGTTGTTGTTGTTGTTGTTTTTGCTTGTTGTTGTTGTTGCTATATTTGTTTGGGGGGGGGGTATTGTAGTTGTTACTGATAAAGTTGATGCTGATATTGTTCTTTTGAATGTTGTTGTTGTTGTTGTTGTTGTTGTTGTCACTGTTCTTGTTTTGGTTACCGATGATATGGCTCTTGATGAAGACGTGTTGTTGGTGTTGTTGTTGTTGTTGCTGTTGTTGTTATCATTGCTGTTGTTGTTGCTATTGTTGCAATTGTTGCTGTTGCTACTATTGCTGTTGCTATTGTTGCTGTTGTATAACTGTGCTGTCGACGTCGATGTGTGTCTCGCTGTCGTCTCTCGCCTCGGTACATCATACCTCGTGTACATAGAAGATCCTGTCAGAATGTTCTTGTGTGTTCGTCTTCAGTTTTTCCCTAAGTAATATTATTATTATTATGAGTATTATTATTATTAGTATTATTATTATTATTATTATTATTATTATTATTATTATTATTACTATTATTATTATTATTATTATTATTATTATGATAAGTAGGAGTAGTAGTATTATTATTAGTATTATTTTTATTCATTCTTATGAGAAACTTCAACAATCATCATAACCATAGAATAACAACTTTCTTTCTGATCAGTACCTAGATCTTTTTTTTTTTTTGAAATCTGACGTTAAAATGTGTGGTAAGTTTCACAACATGTCAAGCTTTTTCCAAAGCATTTCTTTGAATATCTTTATTACGACTCAGAATAATCTTACGATTTTGATAGAGCAGATAGAACATTTTATTGGTTTCTGACCTCATGGTTTTAGTAACTCAAAAATGCCAAAATAGCCAGAGAGAACTTTGTAATTCTGAGGTCGCGTCATGTCAAGACACATCGTGGTACGGTCCATCTTCTCCAAGACGGCAACGTTTTGCCGAGGTGAAAGGGGGTTTCTTGTAACACCTGTAATCTTCGGCACTTATATGACCGTATTGTGTTGCAAGTGCCGTAAAAACACTTAGTAAAACTTTAAAAAAAAAAAGGAAACGTTTTCGTAAAAACTGGATCGATAACAAAAAGATGCGTTAACATTTTGGGCAGTGTCTTTACCATATCAAAAAACGCAAGTGAGAAATGGGAAGCGGTCATTTATACAGGTGATTGTCTTAGACAAATAGCCGTTAGAACACATTCGACTGTACTACTTGCATTTTTGTCTAGTTTTTTAAATTATCTTTTTTACCTTACGTATGTTATCTCTTTACAGTCTCCATGTTTGCTCCTAATAATATATTATTTCAGGAAGCAGGCTAAAATACAAAAACCCATCCTGATGTATGTTAACTTATGTGTACTGTTGGGCTCGCAACAGAAAGATTGAGGGTTCGAACCCCGTCTGGAGCTCGGCGTTGTGTCCTTGGAAAAAGGACTTTACACAAATTTCTCAAAATTCCTTCTCTTCACACCCAGGTGGGAATGGGTACCCGGCTAAAACCAGCGAGATACCTTGTCAGTTGGTTAGCACATGTGCTGCAGGCTCTGTTGTGTGCTATCCGGGAGGCCCAGAATGTATTTGAGTGTTCCAAGGACCGCTGGGTCGAATAATGTATAATATAGATTGTAATGAGCAAATATCTTGCTGTTGAACGGGGATATACTCTAAAAAAATAAAAGTTATTTATTATTTTTATTATCATTATTATTATTGTTATTATTATTATTATTATTATTATTATTATTATTATTATTATTATTATCATTATTATTATTATCATTATTATTGTTATGGCGATGATTCATCATCATCATCATCATCATCATCATCATCATCATCATCATCATCATCATCATCATCATCATCATCATCATCATCATCATCATTATTATTATTATTATTTTTTTTTTATTATTATTATTATTATTATTATTATTTCATTATTATTATTGCCATCATCATTATTATTACTATTATTTTTTTTCTATTATCATTATGATAATCAATTTTATATTGTTATTATCATTATTATTATTTTTATTATCATTATTATAATCAATTTTATATTGTTATTATCATTATTATTATTGTTGTTATTATAATTATTATTATTATCATCATCATCATCATCATCATCATCATCATCATCATCATCATCATCATCATCATCATCATCATCATCATCATCGTCATCAATAGTATAATATTGTGATTGTTATTATTATTATTATTATTATTATTATTATTATTATTATTATTATTATTATTATTATTATTATTATTATTATTATTATTATCTATACACTTTTGGCTAGTTTCCCTGTATATTTCGTGTCTATGTGTCTTAGTTATTGGAATAACTCAGCGGTTACTATGTAAGAGGGAAGTGAGTTGGTCTGTCGGTTGACCGCTCAAGGACTTTGACTGAGAAGATGTTAAGCAAAAAGCTTGCTTTAGGAACGTAGATGTCTTTTGTCTGTTCTCTGACATTGACTGTAAGTACAATAAACGCCATCT